CGGGTGGTCCTTGGGAACCAGAGCCCCCAACCCCGGACCCTGCGGCTGCGCCTCAGCCTGGGCGCCGTGCGCTACACCGGGGTGGCCGCGCCGCCCTTCCGACAGGAGCAGCATCGCAGGACCCTGAGCCCAGGGCAGGGTGAGGCCCTGGACGCCTAGGTTCCCCTCCCCCGGATGCCTGGGTTCTCTCCTGAATGCCTGGGTCCCCCCTGGACACCTGTGTCCAGCCCCGAACTCCTGGGTCCCTCCCTTTCCTCTCTATCCCCAAGGAGAACGTTGACCTTGACATCATCCTTGATGACCATAAGTGGTCCCGGATGCCTGGGTCCTCCCCCCGGATGCCTGGGTCCCCCCAGACCCTCCAGGTCCACCCCGAGATCCTTGGGTTCCTCCCTTTCCTCTTCATCCCCAAAGACAACATTGACCTTGATGTCATCTTTGACCATGGACACCTCGAATCCCCTTCCTGGATGCCCGGGTCCTCCCTGGGGATGCCTGGGTCCCCCCCTGAATGCCTGGGTCCCCCCGGACGCCTGGGTCCTTCCCTTTCCTCTTTACCCCCAAGGACAATGTTGACCAACATTGACCTTGACGTCATCCTTGATGACAGTTGGGTGGTCCTGGATGCCCGGGTCCTGCCCCTGGACACCCATGTCCTCCCCCGAATGCCTGGGTCCCCCCTGGACGCCTGGGTCCTTCCCTTTCCTCTGTATCCTCGATGAGAACATTGATCTTGAAGTCATCCTTGGGTGTCCCCCCCCGGATACCTGGGTCCCCCCATGCCCACACCCCCTGTCCCCACAGAGGAGGCGGTGTCCATGGCAGTGCCCTATGCGGAGTACGGGCCCCACGTGGGGGCGCAGGATGCGCTGCAGCTCACGGCTGCTGCGGCCGTGGAGGAGACGGGGCAGGTGGTGGCCAAGGAGCTGCGGGTGCGGCTGCTGGTGCCCGAGCTCACCCTGACGGTGAGGACACACCCCTGCCTGGACACCAGGGTCCTCCCCTGGACACCTGGGTCCTCCCCTGGATGCCTGGGCCCTCCCTGGGATGGTTGGGTCCTCCCCCGGAATGGTTGGGGTCTTCCTAAGGTCGGGTTTGTCCATGGTTGGGTCTTCCTTCCAAGGTTGGGTCTTCCAGGGTTGATCCTCCATGGTTGGGTTCTCCCAAGGGTTGACCCTCTCCCAAGGTTAGGTTTGTCCATGGTTGGGGTCTTCCTTCCAGTGTTGACCCTCCCATGGTTGACCCTTCATGGTGGGTTCTCCCAAGGTTGGGGTCTTCATTCATGGTTGGTTCATTCATCGTTGACCCTTCATGGTGGGTCCTTCCAAGAGTTGGGTCCTTCTCCCATAGTTGACCTTTCATGGTGGGTTCTTCCTTCCATGGTGGCGTCTTCCAAGGTTGGGTTTGTCCATGGGTAGGGTTTTCCTTCCAAGGTTGGGGTCTTCCATGGTGGGTTCATACATGGTTGACCCTTCATGGTTGGGTTTGTCCATGGTTGATGCTTCATGACGGGTCCTTCCAAGTTTGGGTCTTTTTCCCAAGGTTGACCCTCCGTGGTTGGATCCACGTTGGGTTTATCCATCCATGGTTAACCCTCCATTGTTGACCCTTCATGTTGGGTCCTTCCTTCCATGGTGGTATCTTCCAAGGTTGGGTTTGTCCATGGTTGGGGTCTTCCAATGTTGACCCTCCATTGTTGACCCTTCATGGTGGGTCCTTCCAAGGGTCCGGTCTTTCTTCCATGGTTGATTCTTCATGGTTGATCCCACTATCTTGGCTCCTCCCACCTTTGGGCTCCACTTGGCGTGTTCCCTCCCGCCGGGTTCCCCCCCATGTGCCGGGGTCCCCCCCGGACGCCTGGGTCTCTCCCCTGTCCCCCCAGCTGCTGGCCCCTGCCGTGGTGGGGCAGGAGACCCCGGTGCAGGTGGTTTTCCAGAACCCGCTGCCGGAGCCGCTGGGAGGAGCCTCCCTGAGGATGGAGGGAGCCGGGATCTCCTGCCCCAAACCCCGCGCCCTGGGGTGAGCACTGGGGGGGGACTGGAAGCACTGGGAGGGGCTGGGAGGGATTTGGGGGGGATTTGGGAGGGACAGGATGTTACTGGGAGGGGATGAGGGGCTACTGGGAGCACTGGGAGGGGACTGGGGGGGGACTGGGAGGGACTGGGGG